GGCTGTTGTAACGCAAAATCGAATTTGTAACCTTAAAATTACCCCGAAATCGGCGTTTTCCAAATTTTGGGATGCTGTCTGACGTCATCAACACAATTAATACATTACTCACCTTTTAGATAATTGTACCTAATTTGTAGCAATTTGTAACGCAAAATCGGAATTTGTAACTAAAACCTACCCTCGAAATCGGCGTTTTCAAATTTTGGGATGCTGACTGACTCACTTATATATATACATGTAATAACGACATTGTAAATGTATATTTGTTTGCAAATACTAATTATTATCGTTTTAATAGTATAAGATTAAAATGTCTGAATAAGTTATTATATTCTTATTCTTAAAAATATAAACTTTTATAAATTTTTAATTTAATTATTATTTACTTAATTATACTACACCTCTACTAGGCGTTGGATTTTAAGTATTTTTATTATTATCTAAATGTAAAATGCATGAATAATTATTATTATATATTATAATATCTTTGATTTTAGAATCTCGTCATTTCTTAATAATATATTTATTCAATTAGAAATTGGTAGCAACGTAGTAGTTACTAATTATCTAAAAAGGTTTGAGGTCGAAATTTTGAATTCGGGGTGCCAGGCTGACGGACCTCATTCTCTCGTATATTTGGTATCTAAGTTATAAATAACATCCGATAAACGTCCGATAAATATTAAATATCAACCGGATCAATCGTTCAGCCAAAATGGTATAACGTTCTTTATCATTCGATAGCCGATTATCGTGCTCAAATTATCTTTCGATTACATTTTGGAAAAGTTGGAAAAAAAATATATTGAGCGTTCTCAATCGTGTTACAAAAAATAACGTTCTCAACCGTAATGTTCTCGATTATATTTTACCGAGGTAAATAAATAAAATAATTTTTCAAAATGTTTATTTATAATAATAATTACTTAGCAAATAAATGTATTATACAAAGTTGACAATAAATAGGTAATAAAAAAATACAACATTTGAAACTCCTTTTTAACTAAAGCTTGTAATATTAAGTTTATATTATAATAATTTTATTCTGTTATTCTGATTAATTATAAAGTAAAAACTGATTAGGTAATGCAAAATCAACATTTTTACTCATAATTTAAATTTTAAGTAACCTATATAATTTAATTTCCATTGAAATAAAACACTCATGCCAAACTTTGTAAAAAAGAAACATATGTTTTCGTAACATAAATTCTAAATATTAAATAAATTAATACTTGAGTATACATAAAATCATTTAATGGATTTTTCACCGAACTGAAATTATTCAGTGTAATACCAATTACAAGTGGTTCCTGCGAACTAGTATTATCTAAATTAACAATAGTAAAAAGTAACTTAAGGAGTAGGTACTATATTTAGTCAAAACTGACTTAATATAGTTTATTATTAATATTTACTAAACCAAAACTAACATTTAGTATTAAGATTGACATAGTCATTGACAAATTCAAAATAGTATTGGAAATAGAAGAATTCATTTATAAATCTTTAATTTAAATCATTACATAATTAAGTTTATATGATATAATATTATGCGTATACAATTTTTTGTTCACCAAACCAAGTTTTTAAATTTTGGGTACCTATTGTATTTTCTTTTTTTTATGCATAATTGTATTCATATCATTTTATTTTTAACTTCAAAAATATATTTATTTATTTATTCTCATGTTCGTAAACTCATCAAGTAAAAACCAATTCGTGTTTAAATATACCTCCACATTTATCTGTCACATTAACGCTTACCTACTATACAGTAAGACGCAATCAGAACACGGAAAAGGTGGGCAAAAAATCGTTTATCTGCGTCTGGAACGCAATCGACAAACTCCGCAACTTCTAAATCCTATTTATAAGTAATAGTATTTAGTTATACCTAAGTTGATCAAAATATCTTTTAAATATGCAAATTTTATTCAAATCATTATTTTATTCCTTTTTATTTTTCATTTTCAGGGGCATTTTAAGTTTTTTACTTTTTTTATAGACAATTGATAATTTTGATAAACTACATTTTCTCAACTCGAAATTTTGTTACTAGTGAATATATTTTAAAATATTACAATGCATTTTTAATAGTATATTGTGCTACTTCCACTTACCATTAGTTAAGCAGTTTATGTTTTAAAACATTTAAAAAATGTATACACAAAAAATTTTTATAATAATTATTATTTTTAATTATGTACAGTTAATTAATTTATAAATTAATAGAATAAAGGTGCCTATACATTTTTATATAATACAAAATAATTTATAGTGAATCCAAACATACTCACTTGCCATTTCGACTATTTTTGAGCTATTAATATTATACATGAGAAATTTATTTTTGTTGTTTTCTATAAATGTCAATTAAATATTATTCGTTGGATAAAAATGATTAAAAAGTTGGTACCTACTAAACTACTCTGAATTTGCTGATACCTTAATTAAAAAATATCGAACATTTTAAGTCACGATATTTTTTATAAGCGTTTAAAATTGTATTTTTACAAAGTTCATAAAAATCCCGAAAATAATCAAATTATTTTATAATTAAAAACTCATACATTTTTTTGTTTTTTAACTTTAGATTTATAATTTAATAGAAGTATCTTTAAAAGTTTTTCTTATCAGAAAGTCTTTTAAATTTTTGATAAGCATTTTAAGTTCAAACTTATATGACATTAGATATTTAATCGGAAAATAAATATTTCTCATCAAACAATTTTCGATTTTTGGTTTTTGTTTCTAAATCAAATTACAGTAGATATTTGAAATTTTTATTACCATTTTATAATATATAATTACATTTTTTTTGGGAATTTCGAGTAATTAAATGGAGGCATAGCATAATCTGCCTTTTCCTTGTATTCGTGCCAAAGTGTCATATGTGGGTTACTGTAAATAAGTATGTTCAATTTTAATTTAATGGTATATTTTAGTACATACAAAACGGCTAACACGATTTTCAGCGGAAATAATATAGTCCAACAGCCTTTATCAATCGATATATATACACACTATGTTTCATTTTATGATTTTTAATATTGTATTATTATAGTACTTAGTAGTATCTATTATTAAATTAGTATTTAATTTTATAAATTTTACTGCAGATATTTTTACTAATACATATCTTATAAACGTCACCATAATGATTAAATACAAATTTAATAATTAAATTTTAATAAAAAGTCAGGAATTTAAAAAAATTAAATATGTAAATTATAAATATGTTTTTTCTTACAATCATTACAAAATACAAACATATTATTTTTATTAGCTATTATTACAATAAAGTTTTCATTTTTACATTACAATTTTTTATTTGACTATATTATAATGTATATTTAGTTGAGAGCTTAGTTTTAAAATGTTTAAAACTTGATCGTTTTCTATGATTGATTCTTAAGTTATATTGTATAAAATCAAAATGAATCACGAGAGACGAGATTATCCGTAACACGACACTATTGTCTATTATAAAGAATAAAAAAATCTTTACAATCATCATAACCGTGGACGAGACTACGACTTACGAGAGGCGAAATAACTTATTTTCGTATCATCGGTCACATTGCGCTATTGTCCTATATGTTATCTTCGAGCCTTGGATGTTGATACTTGATAGTAGAAGTAACTCACCTGCGACCTGCAGGTAGTGTTAGTAGTCGTAGACAGTCGTAGTACTCCGGAAATCCGGTAGTCCGGTGACCGGTATTCGTAGTGTCGCCTGTCGGTAGTGGCTGAGAAACTGAGCTACAGTGTAGTTGAAAGTTGCGTATTGAATAACCGTTATTCAAAAAATATACTTACGTAAATTTCTAGCCTATCTATTTTAAGTTTTCTGAATTTTTATTGGTCTTTACTGCCATCGCAGTCTTCCAATACACAATTAAATTTGTCAGTACGCTAGAAAAAAAATGGCACTGAAAGCAATTGTTGGGCAGAGTAAGTTATCGCGGCTACCGCTCATTATCGTTCGTAATGTATAATAATACATAGACTCTTATTAATATTAGTTGTTATTTTATAGAGATTATGGACGAAGTGATCAAACAAAATGATGTGGATAAGAGTTTGGAGGAAAAATTGAAACTATGGCGTGTGCTGGTAGTCGATCAGTTGTCAATGAGAATAATATCTTCATGTTGCAAGATGCATCAAATAACATACGAACGGATTGCTAGTGAGCATCCATTTCAGTATCATTACCTATTGAGTGAAAGGTAAAATTGTTAACATTTATTTTTTTTGTTTTAGTTGTCGAACATCTTAATAAGAATCGCGAACCGTTGCCGTCAATGGATGCAGTTTACTTGATTACTCCATGTGAAAATGCCGTCGACATACTCATCAGAGATTTCTCTAGTCCAGAGAAACCAATGTACAAAAATGCTCATGTATTCTTCATTGAAGGTAAAATATTATATTTATATCTCCATTTATGTAGATGCATGATTCTTATAATATTCCTAATTGTTTTCTGAAGTACCTATATCATATGTGTTATATATTAAACAACACTTACAATTATAGATAAAACATTTGAGAGATTTTAGCTACATGTGTCAAAATTTCTCTTACTGATCATTATTTAAAATACCTATAGTTATACCTTTATCTCAATTTATCCATTATAAATTACAATAAATATTTTGCAAACTATAACCAATATTAATGAAATTTTGGCATTAATTTTAAAAATAAAAATATAAAGCCGGTATGTTAATTCTATTATTCTTATTATTTTCATAAGCGAGAAAGTTGTTACCATTAATTAGTCTTTTCAATGGATTTTAATGTGTATTCTTCATTTATTTCCCTTTTAGATTTTATAGTGATTAATAGTATACTAGTTGACTGACAGATAATAAGGAGCTGCTTTGTTTAAATTGATTTATGGCAATTTTTTGTTGATAAATTAATGTTATCTGAAAATAAATAAATTATATATACATATAATACACATGTATATTATTGTTTAAAAACTTTAAACTAACTCCTATATTACTCTTGCAATATATGTAAATGTTTTAATTATTTAGTAAAAAAATATTTAAAAAGTTATATTATAAAGTTGTAATTAACATTTTGGCCTTTGGCATCTAAAATAATAATTATCTGTTAACTTTTTTATTATTATTATTATTAAAAAACAAATAATACAATACTTTAATACATTAACTTAAATACTTTTCTGGTTTTATCTCCTATATTAGATTTATGATTTATGGTTAACAATGAAGTGAATTATCTTAGTTTTATAATTAGAGATGATTTTATTTAAGTTGTTTTATTTGGTGAATTAAATGTTTTTTTTTATTTTATTATTATTATATGGATTTCCACTTATACTTAGATAATAAATTTTAAGTTATTGAATTTTGTTTTTTGACATTTTTTTAAAATAAATAATAGTTATATTATTGTGTAGCAAACTATAAAAATACTTATTAAATTATTAACACAGTATACTAACATCAGTAACACTATAATATAATAGTTGTACACCAAATATCAATAATATATGTCTATGGTTAATGTACTAATATGCTATTATATTTTAATTGCTTTATTTTAACAAAAGCGTGTCAAGAAGAACTTTTCAATAAACTGTGCAATTCAGTTGCTGCAAAAAAAATTAAAACCCTCAAAGAGATAAACATTGCGTTTCTACCTTATGAAAGTCAGGTGTGTTTATTTAATATAAATAAAATACCAAGACCACACATATCAAACGTTAAACATGTTTATTAATTTATTTTTCCAATATTTTACATACATCTAATTGTCAATATTGATATTATTAATGTATATTTTAGGTATTTTCATTGGACTCCCGTGAAACATTTCAATGTTACTATAGTCCATTATTAGTAAGCAGCCGTATCCTAAACATGGAGCGTATTGCAGAACAGATTGCTACTGTTTGTGCTACGTTAGGGGAATATCCTTCATTACGATATAGAAGTGATTTTGAACGCAATGCTGAATTGGCTCAAATTTTACAACAAAAGTTAAATATTTATAAAGCTGATGACCCAACAATGGGCGAAGGTCCAGAAAAAGTGCGTTCTCAGTTAATTATTTTAGACAGAGGATTCGATTGTGTATCTCCAGTCTTACATGAGCTCACATTACAAGCTATGGCTCATGACCTTTTGCCAATAAAAAATGACGTTTATAAGTGAGATATAATTATAGCATTTATTCTTAGTTTTAATTAATTTTATTTCAATAGATTTGAAGCCAATGTAGGATCTTCTATCATGAAGGAAGTGTTGTTGGATGATAATGATGAACTCTGGGTGGAGAACAGACATCAGCATATTGTTGTTATATCCAAGTAAGTCTCCAAATTTTACTTTGATACTAAGTTATCTATTTTTTCGGCAGTATAACAATTGAGTGACATATACACTATGCTAGGAGCCTCCAAATTTTTTTATTCAATAGCTACATAAAATATTGAAAGCTTTTAATAAGCCAAAAATGTATAAACACATATTATAATTATCAAGTTTATAGAAATATATAACTTATAAATATTTTGATAAGTAATTCTTATAATATACTAAAAAATATACTTGGTATTAATTTTAATAATAATTTATAAATTATAATTTTTTTTTTTTTTTATAAGTAAGACTTCAACATCACGGCTCATTAACTTACTGTAAATTACTAGTAAAAATTAGAGATATATAAAAATAAAGGGAGAAAAGAAAAAAACTTACAAGTTTTATTGGGACTTTAATCTTATGGGGGATTTATATATTGTTAAAATTTGTTTATGAGATCAGTTTTGGTTAAATATGTAATGATTTTAAAAATACTGTTTTTGTTGAGTGCTTTTTTTTATATTAGGTGGTATTATTAGGTTGTTTCTTAAGTCTCGGTTCTTCATGTAATCTAGGATGATGCGTTAAACTGAAAAATTTGCATGGCATTCATGACAAGTGGGTGGCAGATTTTTACTGATGAGTAAAGACTAGATTGCGAATGAGTGACCTATTTTGCATCTTGTGATTGCAACTTTTTGTCGTCAATTGAAATAGAAAGTGGTATCCATTTCTTGCATCTTTCTTTGTTTTAAACTTATTGGTGGAAGAAATAGTATCCCAATAATTTTGTCATTTAGAGTATATTTTGAGTTTAATGGATGCTTGAATGTCATTTGTCGGTAGGTTGAAGATTGTTGGGTTTCTTTGGCTGTGATATAAATTTAGAAGCCGTAGTGTATTTGTGATAATATAAGAGATTTATAAATTGTGTTAAGTGATTTCATACTGACTCCCCATGTATGGTGGGAAAGTGTTTTTATGATGTTTATTCGAATTTTGCAAATATTATAAATTCTTTATTAGTGAGAAATATACATAAAATTTATCTTTTTCTGCTTATATTTTTTTGAATTGAGGTTGCATGTATTCAATTATTTACTGATTCTTTTCCTGAGGGCTGTACTGCCTGTACTTTGTAGACCTTTACACTATACAATTATACAAATACTATAAAGGTATTTAAAAATAAAAAAACATAAATTTATAAAATGGAAACATAATGGCACACACATATATACATTACAAAAAAATAAAATCCAACTTCTAGGACCACATCACTCAAGTTGTTTGATACAGAATACGTCATGCACACACACACACACATACATGCTCGTTATATTTTAATAATTGTTCATAAGAAATATTGACAAATAGTTTTTTATCATTAGTATTTGAATCCTTAAAAATCAAAGACATTTAAACATTTTTCTATCCTACCGTTCTTAATTTTTTATATTTAATAATTATTTAAAAACATGTATTTTAATTTTATAAAATAAGTGATCATACATTGGGGCTCTAAACTACATTTTCTCTAATACAAATAATTTATAATTACATTACTGCTTTTCCATTTAATATTTTGTTATTCTGTTCAGAAAAATAATACAACAATTCAAGGAATTTAAAGATTCTAAACGCATGTCTACTGTTGATAAAGATAATCCTTCCATGTATGATTTATCTGATATGATCAAACAAACGCCTCAATATCAAAAAGAATTGAAGAAGTATTTAAAGCATTTAAATCTAACTAAAGATTGCATGCAACATTATACAAGTAATATTGACAGACTTTGTAAAGTGGAACAAGGTCTTGCTATGGGTACTGATACAATGGGTAAAAAGATCAATGATCATATGCAATATATTATACCCATATTGTTAGATTCAAATGTCTCTAGCAACGATAAAATGAGGATAATTATATTGTATGTTTTGTCAAAAAATGGAATATCAGAAGACAATCTTAATAAACTGATACAACAAGCCCAACTGTCACCAATTGATAAACAAGCAATTATCAATTTGAACTTGCTTGGTATCAACTCTGTTGTAGATGTAAATATTATAAAATAAAATTTATATTATTTAAACTTGGCAAATTTAATCAATTTATTTTCTTTCTCCTCAGGGTAACAGAACAAAACAGTATCAAATTCCACGTAAAGAGCGTATTTCAGAACAAACATATGAGTTTTCTCGTTGGACACCAGTGATCAAAGATGTAGTGGAAGATAGTATTGAAGACAAATTGGATATTGAACATTTTCCATTTCTAGCAGGAAGAGCTACTTTATCTGGATACTATACCTTATCTAGGTGTATATTTAATATTATTATTATTATTATTTAATTTCTTGGTATTTTAAATTTATTCTCATAACACATTTAATTATTATAATCTACTCAAATAATTAGAAGAGATTTTTTATTAATAATGACAAATTATTGACAGTTATTTTTTAGAAAGTATAAAAAATATTATAATATGTTTTAAAAAGCTTTAAATTCTGTTTTTATTTGTATATTTATAATTTTAAACGTTTATAAAAATATTTTTTAAGAGGACGCCGCACCTGCGTGTGTTACCTCCGTTTTACATACATATAACATAGCAAATTTTCAAGAAAATAAATTTTAGAAGTTCTTAGTGTCCTCAAGAGAGGAGTCCAGCACCGTGCAGATGAAAAAGATTTTGAGTAACATTACTCATTTGAAAATATCGTCATGGAGTAACTGGATGCAGAAAAACAAACATTGATAAATATTTACATATTTTAAATAATATAGTAAAATATATAGATACTGTTTTAAATTATACATACATAGTTAATAATACATTTTTTTAAATATATATTTTTCATTTTTTTCAGAGTACAAATCAAACTAATCGCTTATTAGAAACAATCAGTTAATTGATACATTTCATCTTGGTCCCAAAGTGTTCTTAATAAGCAGCTACTACTGTATTTCTATTTTTAGAATAATGTTTTTCTGCGATAAAATAACTAATATTATAAATTTATTTGAATGATATATAATTTTAACGATTAATTCATTCATGTAGTCAATTTAAATACATTAAAATTACACTTTTTTGGCGATAGACAGTTACTAAATTGAATTTAAATTTAGTGTTGTTTACAAACTATACAATATAATAATTTTTGATGTCCATTTTTAGTTACTGTTATAAAATACTTTTAAAATAAAGTTCATTTATATTTAAAACAACCCGGTCATAATACGATTGGACAGTTAAGTAAAATCTTTGAATAATTAAACATTTTTTCCGTGTTCAAAAAAATGTACAAGTTTCAAAATAATAATTGTTTTTTTCTGTTATTCCATTATTTTAAAATGGCTACAAAATCATTTACTACACTAACATATAACATCAAATCTGTTATGAAATTTCTTACAGAGTTATTGATGTACAACCAAAAATTGTTCTTAATATACTTGTCCTTTACATGAACTTTTTCAAATTTTGAAAGTAATTACATCCATGAATGAATTAATATGATATACTAAAAATGTTTATACACTCAATAAACAGTGTATAATTATTGACATAACATGTTACCTATTCAGTACTGTTGCAATGATTTATGAATTGTTTCTAGTGCACGATATGAACACTGGCATAAGGATAAAGACAAAGGAGAACCGCTTATAAGAAATGTGCCAAGAATAATAATTTTTGTGGTAGGAGGAGTCAGTTTTTCTGAGATGAGATGTGTATATGAAGTAACTAGTAATGTCAAGAACTGGGAGGTTATTATAGGTAATTATATCAAATATTTTACTTATAATTTTGTATTATAAATTTAGTTATACTTAATATATTTTGAGCAGGTTCATCACACATTCTTACACCAGAAGACTTCATCAAAAATTTATCAGCTTTAAGTTAACACATTTTGTCCGATTCAAAACAAATTTTCCCAAATATTCTTTGCATTATTTATTTTTTAATATAAGAAAGAAATTTAATAATTTTTGTTTTAAAAATATGAATTCAATAGATAATAATATTTGTACAACAACTATAGTTTTAACAAACCTTAATTGCAAAATAAAAAATAAAATATAATATAAAATAAATCTAACTTATTCCAAATATCAAAATGACATACTATACCAACTAAAATTATTAACAAATTATATAATGTATTAGGTAAAATATCATGATAACATAACTTAATTTTTTCCACCTTTATAATATAAAAAAACAATATAATGTCAGACTCTTAAGAATCACAAAAATGCCTGTTATCAAAGAAAATCTTAAAAAAATTAATTAACTTAAATTTATGATTTTATGCATACAAAATGTTTTACTATAAATATTAAATTTTATTTCTATACCAAAATTAAATCAATTAAAAAAATTGAATTTATTTTGTATGAAAAAAAGTGCATTGTGTAATAAATAATAATTATATCATTTCTCTTAACATAGCTGGATAATACATATTATTGTTAAAAAATTAATAATTAACAACCAATCCAAGTATATGAAAATATTCTTTTTTTTTGTTTCTGTGGGTGTATTTTTATATATTATTAATATATAAATTTTACACATTTTAATAATTGGTTTTATTACTTATAACTTGTTGAAAGTTATTTTTTTGTTGAATTAGTATTGCAAAATTATTGATTGCATGCTTAAAAAAAATAAATTATAAAAGTTATAGTAATCATTATATATAATAACATAGATTAATGCATTTAGTGATATTTAATGTCATTGTAGCCATTTATAAAGAAGTGATAACATTTATTAATAGTCATATTATTTTCTTTAAAAGGTACAAGTTTAAATGATATACATTTTTAATTATTTAAAAAAATTAATTATGTTATCACGATGTAGTTTAGTAACTTATAATTACTAAAGTATTATAAAAATTAGTGTTTTTGCAAAAATTTAGTACATATTTATTAAATAATGAATGTTTAAATAGATTTAAAAACCTAGCATTTAGTCTTAAAAAAAATAAATATTATTGTAATTAATATATCATCTATAAATGTATAATTGTATTCTATGTTTAAGTTAGTTTGTCGAACAGTTTTTATTATATTAATTTATCACAATTTCTAGTCCTTAATCATAATTAATCTATAAAAATAATACTAGAACACGGATTTTAATGCATAAGAAATTTAATTGAAAAGTACTCAGAAAAATCTACCTAACTAAAAATTGATATTAACTACTTAACATACATTCTTTAAATATGATTTAACATAATCTCTAATACCTTGATTACAGTTTATCTGTTAAGTTCTGTTTTTAAAATGATGTTAATTACTTTTTGTTGGTATTTAATTCTTGAGATTTAAGATTTGTAATTTTATAGTAACACTTTGTTTTTATTTTTATTAAATCCGTGCCTTAGTCATAAAATATAGATTTTCAATAACCACTTAGAATTTATACTATTGCTATTAATTTAGAAGATTTATGCTTGTAAATTTCATTCAATTAAACAAAAGATAATAAGTATCTATTTATTAAAATTATTTAGTCTTATACTCATAAAACATGTTTTAATAATTTTCAATAAGAAATTATGCATACTACTACAGTATATTTAGAATTTTAACTTGTTAATTGTTAAGTGCTTTTTAAAATAATTTAACAGCTTTAATTATATAATACATGTTTTACTTAATGTTAAAATTATTTTGTTGAATGTGTTCAATGTAAGTTTCTATACATTGCATCGTATAAATTATAATTTGATGTAATTGATAGATAAAACTCCATGATTATTCTCCAGTCATGCATTGGCTTGGCGTGAATACATTAGCTAACAGAAGACTAGTAGCTAATTTGACTTTCCTTCGACGTCTTATTGATGGCCTTATAGACTCTCCTGAACTATTAGCCCAAATTATCTTCTATGTACCATCTTTTCATTCTTGTCAATTATCAAACCTTGGCAATACCGACTATGCAAAAAACCAGCCACTATTTCGCATGATGAGTATAAACAATAAGGATCTATCAGCACTACTAATTTATTAACTGTTTGTACATATTATATAAATTTACAATATCGTAATTTTGGCATATCCCGTATTTTTATATAATACATTTTACAAGGGTATCTATACTAGATATAAATATTGAATAGTATACTGTACCAATTAAATGAACGGTAACAAAATAAAAAGGCCTATAAACGTAACTCAAGATGTAGTTAAACTAGTAGTATCAACGAGTAATCAAATTAAAATTATAAAAGCAATACATTTTTAATACATCATTTACTGTTTTAGAATTAAGATATTAATTTAATTATTTTAAATATTTTTTTTAATTTGAAAATTTTAAATGTAGATGTATTTATTACTTCTTTAGTTCTCATTATATCAAAGAGTTTAGTATTCTTAAATTAATTAAAAATCATCTTTATATAATATTATTAATTTGTAATAAGACTAAGTTGAATTTGGAAAAGTAAACCAGAGGTATGCAGATTTTTGGATGTACAGACTTTGTTAGTATTCAATAGTTAATTAGAACAGTTCAATTAGAAATCTAATAACAAAATTATAACAAGTCAACAACAAATATTAGTTTATTGGTAATAATTATGAACAATGTTATAGATTTACATAACTGCGCGGCGGTAAAACTAGTGACAGGTTGTATCATAATATAAATTTAATATATCGATTATCGATTGTATACAGATGTATCCATGACAAAATAGAAATCTATTTTGTCATGAGTGTATCAGCAGCGCGTTCAAACAATCGGAGCGAGTCGTTAGGCAGCGTGGCGTAGAAACTGTGGCAGCGTGGCGTAGAAGCTGTGGCAGCTGGACGCCTGTGCCGCTGTGTCGTGTTTACGGTTGGTGAAAAGAGGAGTAAAACGCAGCCGGTGATACGTCAAGGAACATAAACATTTATAAAAATTAAAGCAGTCGTATACATGACAATAATTTTAACGAATAGAGAATACGCCGAATACGGTATAAAATAATTTGAGAATACAAATTAAAATAAAAAAAATTAAAAAAATTACAAGATGTAATACTGATAACAGTGATAACCGTGATCACGCAAGCACAGAAAAAACCGTTGTATTACTATAAACGTAATCACAGATGTATAATTATCTCACAATTATATAAAAAATTTTATATATCTGTGAATTATCTACAACCGTGCTTATCACTGAATTTACACTGATAACCACTCAAGATTTTTTAAATACCTGTTTTATGTTTGTCATTGTCACAGTGACTGTGACGCGGGACACGTGTATTTGCAAGGTAAAACCAATTTTCGTTCAAGTAGGTAATTTTCAAGTTAGGTATTGAATCTGATTGAAATTCAACATTAACGCAATAATTTCCGTTTTGGATCTTTGTTAACAGTCGTCAAACGCACACATTATGGAAGCCAACAATCACAACATTCACAGCTCGTTGAATGAATGGGGTTCTTTGGATTTAACGAGAAGATCGACAGGTAAGCAGTGCTCGGAATGGAAAACTTTTTGAACCGGAACGCTATATATTATTATTAAATACACATAAACTCCCTGATAAACTCCCTAATTCATCTAAAGAATCAGACATTGCATTTAAATTGATTTCAAATTGTACACTTGTCGTTTTATATAACCCTCTATGATTACTCTTTTTACTAAAATATCTTATAGAATCCACTGAACCAAGTTTAAATGATTACAAAGTGTCGAAAAGTTGTTTAAAACTACATTAGCTGTTTGTTTGCTTCAAGCCACCCAATAAACTGACAAATTCTACCAATTTTTAAAATTTATATTTCTAATGAACTGGCGATTTTACTTAATTCATTTGAATTTTTAGGTGACTGGTGATACAAAGTATAAATTTTGATATGCATATAAAATATATACAGTGGAACCTCGATAACTCGAACTTCTATAAGTCGAATTTTCGATAACTCGAAAGAATGTCTTGGCCCCTACTTTATAACATATCATATGTGTAACCTCTGTAAGTCGAATTTTCGATAACTCGAAATTTTTTTTGCCCCCAACCGATTCGAGTTATTGAGGTTCCACTGTAGTATAAACTAGTACTATATTATAATATTACTTCTATGACTAGTAGATAGGTATTAACAATTAATAATACTTTATTACCAATTAGCAATAACTGATAAGCTGAATTAGCCATTTTTCAAATGTATGACATTTCTAATTATTATTATAATTTTTAACGAATCAGAACGCTAAAACTTAGTTTCTTGCGAATTGGAACACTATATTTAAACATGTGATGAACCAGAACTACGTTCCAGTCCATTCTGAGCCCTGCAGGTAATACAAATTAAATATAGTTTAAAGCACAACAACCACATCAATTAGAACGTTTCAAATTCTAACTCATATAATTTTCAATTTAGACATAAGACACGGTACGTAACGGTCGCTAGTATAAAGTACAGAAATCGAAGCGACCGGTCTATACCGTTATCACCACCACCACGAGTAAAGACGCAATATAGTCAACTCCCCTACCAACGCCTTAAAGGCCAAGGCGGGACATAGCTTAGACATAGATGTATGATAGTATATTTGTATTCTCAAAAATATTCCCGTTCATGATTATTGTTAATTTATAAACATAATTCAGAATGCCTTATCATTATTAGTAGTATTTAATCTTTTAAACAAAAATATGTATAATAAAAACAGCTAACAATCATTATTGTGTAAATAAATTCAATATTCAATAAATATGTTAAGTGTTACAAATTAATATGATTGAAATATTTAGATCAAAATTTGAATACAATACAAAATCAAAATTCACAAGAGGAGTCTGTACGTAGTTCTACAAATCAACGTATGGAACAGACTGAATCAGGTAAATTACCAATTGAAATTTCTATTTTAGAGTATATTTTTGTTATAAAATGATGAATCTTTCAATTACCTACTTAAAAGTTTTGATTGTGGATGTAATTAGTATTATTTTTTGCTTATTTTACCATCAATGTAAGTAGAGTAGAGTTGATGAATCAATATTAATTATACTAAATAATATAAGATACTCCTAATTTTATCAGATTTTATATTTCAATAAAAAATATTTAAATTAAGAACAATGATCTATTTATGTGAAAACAATTTAAAATCATTTAATCTAGATTAATTTGATATTAAATATATCTTTTAATAACCGAAAAAAAAAGTTTTGAGGAGTAATATATAAAATGACGACTTCTAGTTTTTAAATGATTTTTTTTTTTTTTGTAATATTTAATCTTCTGAAATTTTTATGGGTCACTTATATTGAAACATCATTATGTTTTATTAATTGAAGAAACTATTCACGTTTAATTTTGTGTTTAATGTCCAATTAAAATAAAAAAAAAAAAAAAATAAAAAATGTGTAATTGTTAGTTATTATTTATGTAATTACATATTATATTATTTTTTAAATATTGTGTTTTGCTTTGCTGCAGACCAAAAAATATAATTTTCAATTAGCTATTATATTTAAATTAGGATTTTTTACTGAAAATGTTCCAAATTGTTAAAACAATTTGAGTAACAAGATTCTTGCCATGTATTGTATGTAAATAATTTATGAATAAAGCGTGTTTAATTACTTTAAGGACTAAAAACTGTTGTATCCAAGATTTCAGAAATCATATTTTTCATTACATTTCAATTTGTATTCCTTATTTTGGTAATTTTATTTTAATGCATTTTGACTAAAAGTTCCAACAAATGTGGGCACATCTCAACCTATATGTATCATAATTTACTACTAATTACATAATTTAATTTTAATATCTACCTCTTAAATACAATTCTCATAGAATTTTGACTTAATAATTGCTTGTTTATACATAATTAATACTTACATGCATAGTTTTTATGGATTGTATTTATAACATATCAACATTATAAAGTCTTTGAGTTATATTCCGATGTTATTCATACATAAGTTCACCTGTATATATTAATTTAAAAAAATTAACCAAACAAAACAGATAAGTATAAGGTCCAATGTACTTTTGTACACATTTATATTATCCAGAAAATAAAAATAAATTATATTATGGGATAATGCCAATTGTTTATTGTTTTTTATTAGAGACATCTAATTAATCAATAATTAAAAAATGAAACCTAATTTTCAGATTAATACAATTCAAAAAATTGTAAAAATAAATTTAAAGCCCTTTAACCTTTTATCAATTTCAATGTTATTATATTTTCTAAAATTCTTTATTTGTATAGATATTTTAATATATATATATTTTTTTATTTAAATATAAATATTTTTTTAATATTCCAGAAAATGTGTTATTTCTATGCAATAAATAAATCTTCTAATTTAACAATTTAACTAATCTAAGTGGGATCTTATTCCTAATTTTTAGTTTATATAATATAAGTATATAGCATATTTAAATAGTTTAACTTATCTATATTTTACTATAACAAATGTTTATTAGTTTAATAGCTTTTAAAATTGTATCATTAATCTGTTAATTAGATAGTGTAGAACAGAGATCTACAAATGCTACAAATGGCCGTCGGCGAATAAATTATACCCGGCGAACTTACATTCGGCGAATAAACCGACCTCCAATTGAAGAGTAAATAAAATATATAATGACAACATCATATATATTTTTGTATTTATTATTAATTTTTATTTTAAATACAATTTATAGTATCAAATATTACTGTCAAATTAATTCGGTTTAGTTTTGGTTAATATATACTAAAATATATCTGCTCTAAAAATATATATTTATATATTCTTATATTATATATTTTTGTATATATTTATTATTTAAACTGAAATACATTTAATGGTATTAAAATGTGTTGTCTCTGTAAATAATAAGCATCTTAAAACCTAGTATCTAGTGGATAAAGTTTAATCTTAGAAATTGTCTATTATCTATTTGGTTGTAATTTACCTATTTTATTTTAAAAACCAATTAACTGAAAGCAGTTCATGAAAGAAAGTGTTTAATTTAACATGGATTAAGGTAGAATAGTTTCAACTTGTCAATTCTGATATGAAAATATCTATATTTGGTTACATGAAATTTTATATTTACTGAGAATCATAGTGCAGTCTAGTTCATAGCACCTAGATAGATGCTAATGTTAAAATAATAAATAAATAAAAACTATATTGGTAACATTATTTTAAACTTTGATTAAAAAAACTATTACCAATATTATATTATATAATCAATGGTATCACTCGACTTAGGCTAATTATTTTTATTAAAAAAATAATATTTTACCCTAAAAATATTTGATAATCCAATTTTGTTCTCCAGAGTCTCCTTTGCTGAAGTTCTCGACATAGAAACCTAATAATAATGAAGTATAGTAGCTTTTATTATAAACAATTACACAATAATAAATAGTTGCAATGATCAGTGTATTACATACAACGTAATACAGTGGCCACTGATGTATGATATAATATAATATTTATTATATTATCATATTTTTTTTTAACCTCAGCAAGTACTTGTAATTGTGAGGAATAAATCACAAATACGAACAGTCAGCACCCAAATTATACTAACATAACAATGTAGCGTAAGGAACTACAATGTAGGATATATTATTAAGTTATATTATTATTCTGTGACTATATTAAATAATATGTAATAAATAAAAATATTAATTATTATATCATAATGATTTAATATTTCAAAATGGTCTATTCGTGCATTATTTGTGTTTTAATAATTCTAATAACACAGAAGGTGTTTTTTCCATATTTAAGTATTGTATTCATTAAATAACCCTGTATTTTGTTAGCATGCACGCATTAATACTATCATTTAACTCATGATTATTAATTATTATTTACATAGCGTTTTATTTTTTAATCCTAAAATTCCTAAATATTTAATTAGAGAACAATTTATTGTCGATTGATATACTTAATCTGAAAATATCCATTTCTAGATAGGCACAGAGTCTGAAGTTAACAATTTAACATTTTTTTTAAAAAAACTATCAGCAATAATAGGACAATTTTAAACTCAAATGCTGTTTCTTCAAAGAATATATTTTTTTAAATATAATTGGATTACTGTAAATTGTTTCATTTTTATAGCCATGCACACGTTGTTAATAACATATGTGATCCTATGTAGTTAAATGATCAGAATTAAATATGAATTTAATATTTATTTAATATGAATAAATATAAAATTAATTAAAATAAATTTTTAGTCCTGATGAAAATATATCAAACGGTTGTTTAGCTACTAGTAGTATAGTATCAACTAGAGTTGCTAAAGTGATGTTTCCAAGAGATAAATATTGTGATTTAGTAAGTAAGATAAAATTGATAACTTTAAATTAATTTAAAAAAAAAAAAAAAAAAAACAATAGACCAAAAAAGAAATTCATTAGTTTAAATTATATGAGTTGTGTTTTTAAAGATTTCTGAAAATTTAGAAATAAACTTAATGGTATTTCTTGATAATTTTGGCGATGTAATACTATTAAACATATGCACATGTGTTGTTTCCATTTTTCAAGTGTATAAAAAGTACAATTTTTATTTTAGTGAATTAATTTATCGAAGGTAAGATTATTATTCAAAGCAACTATTTAAGAGTCTACGAGATTCATCAGATAATAATCTTACATTTACATTTTATAATAGACCAATACGCTTTAATGTTAAAAACTACATTACATGATTAATTGCAAACATACCTAAATTGTAGAATTTTTAATGTATATATTATTAGTGTATTAATTTAACAAAAACCTTAAGACTAGATAAATCTGGAGTATTTTATTCGTATTTAATGTATATTTTCAATAATAGGAATTATCTAGACAAAAAGTTGTAAATTTAAAAGTTATTTATTTTTTAATTTAAATTTATTTAGTTATAATAAAATAATATTTTGTTATTAAATCTTCATATTTTTATACATTAGCAATACCAATAAAATAGTGGACTAATGGGTACTGCTCTGCTGTATATTAGGTATTCGAATAGGTCATTGTATAACCATACCTATCTATGATATATTATTTTCTATAAAAAATAATTTCAAGATAGTCAACTTGGTCTATCAGCCTGTATCACTAAGTATTTTTGTAACATGTTTATTAGTATGTTATAAAACTAAAATAAACATTGCATTTATAAATATAAATATATAATTATTATAATAATATATATAGTTTGTTAAAATACGTATGTATTAAAAAACCTGAAATATTTAACAAAATAAATTTAGTTTATTAGTTTATAAAAAATATTATTTTTTTAAATATCATTTATTTTATTTATCATCATCATTCATTGTTAACAATAATTAGAGACAATAAACATCAAATTTTAATGTGTGGCAGTGTTAAGTTTCATAATGTATTTGTAGTGACTTAACGATTATTCAACATTGATCTGCAATTTATCTCCGTAACACTTGAATAATGCTGTAATTTTCCAAGTTTAATGATGATACTGTATCATCTTCATTAATGACATTATTTGATGCAAGGAATCTTACAGATTCCCTATTAAGTCCCTAAAATATTAAAATGTTGAATGAATTAAAATATATTTTAATTACAAGTGTTAAACAAACACAGAAACATTTTATTACTTAATAGTAAATACTAGCCACACAAATAAACTAAAATACTAATTAATATTGATTTTTGGTACTTGTATTAAATAAATTCTTAATGAAACACACCCTATTTATAAAATATTTTACTGTAATTTAGTCTAAAATGTAGTCAGTGAAACTACCTATAATGATAATAATAATAATAATAATATACTTTATAAGAGTTTATACTTACTATTCTAAGGCAGTACTTCTCCATTAATATTTTCAGTGGTTTATTATTTTTAATTTTATAAATACAAATAGCACTAGATATTTCCCGCTTTGGCTGTACTAATATAGTAGTATATTCAGATCCTCTTTCCTAAATATCAAACACATTTATCAATAATATTTAAGATGTAATAACTAACAAAATTAAGGACGAGATAAAAGCGTCTGCGATGTCATGAAATACTAATTTTATGAGTCATGATAAAAAATGCAATGAAAAAAATACCGGACTACACGTAAATACGGATAAGCAACAGATATAATTAATATTATTACCTGTCACCCAATGTCAATAACTAACACCAAAAAAATTTTTTTTATGTGCGTAACGTGAATTTGTAAATACTTACACTTGACATATTTAAAGTGGACGTATAAGACAAGTATAGTCGACGTGAGAACACAGCTCGGCAGCTCGGTCGCGTGAAGAAATGCTTCTCTGTCCATTTGTATTTTATCTTCAAACTCTTGGCGTAATCCTCCCCCTCTTCACCAAGCAGCAATCGATTTATGTATACAGATTTCGATAGTGGGCAGGTACCCACATAATGCGACCATTCATTTGGTCTTTTATAATCTCATCATTGAAATAACTACAGGTATTAGGTACTCCTGTGAAGTGGTGAGTTATAATGAATAATTTTTATTATCGATTAACGTTCAATTATCTATGTAAGCTATTAATTTATCATTGAAATAATAAAATTCATGACTAAATAACATTTTTTTTTTGTTTTTTTTTTTTTTTGGAAATAATTCAAATAATCTGCACTACTAAATAATTTTCCGGATAATTTGCACTACCGAATAATTTTATTTTTATTATCAACAGATATAAAAAACCTTAATCAATATATTATTTTAATATTACCAAATTTAAACTTTTCTTCTATTTAATAATCCTTATAGTTGATATTTGTATGTTTTAAAAAATGTAGATTAATTTTAAGATAATATGCTTCACATATTTTGAAATATTAAATGTCACCATTTCGTAGAAATTATAAATACCTCAAGTCCTCAAGTCAAAAACCTAAAATACCTATGGCAAAAATTAATTAAAATATCCGTACGTAAACCTATAGTTATTATAAACAATAATTAATTTATAATTGATTATATTTATCAATAATATTAGTATAAGAGTAGTGTATAAAGGGGGATTCTGAAGCCACCGCTACCACCCACTATCCTCTCCCATGCCACCACCACCACCTACTACCCACCTCTCTCATGCCTGCCCTGATGGTGGTGTTGGTGGTGGTGGCGGCGACGACAAGATCAGGCCAAAAGCAGGGGGGGGGTAGTGGGTGGTGTTGACATGGGAGAGGTGAACATTGGGTGGTGGTGTTATGAGAAAGGAGGGTAGTGGTTGGTGGCAGGGCGGTGGCAGTGGTCTCAAAATCTCCCTTTTTACGCTACTTATAAAAATCAAAATGAATGCAAATGGTATATTGCAAACATCTTAAATTATTCTTTGTTTTTTATTTATCTGTGAAAACTTTTTTTCCGATAGTTTTGAACATTTTTGATCCCTATATAGTTACTATTTTTGAAAAAACACGCAGTTTTTACTTAAATGTTTTTTGTTAGATTGTTTGGTTTATCTGTTATGATATTCTATTGATTTAACAATAATTGTAATTCTAAATCTTATTATACTATTTTGTATATTTTTTCTTAAATGGATGAATATTCTGTATTTTTTTATGAGTAACAATACATTTGTTCCGTAATTTTGTAATAAATAATAACGATATTATATTTTTGAAACATAATGAAGGACCATAAGAATAAGGCATGATTTCTGAAAGCCTTTTAGTCACACTAATTAGAATCACCCGCCGTCCACCTTTTACAAAATAATTATATAATATCTATACTCACACGTTACACTTATTAATGTACTACAAATTTTGACTAAAAATGCATTATTTTTAAATTTATGCGTGTAATTATAACTACTGTATGACAAGCTGTAAATTAAAAATTTAAAACACTAAAGATATGTAGGATTTGTTATAAATTTTAATGCAATAGACCCGATAAAACATATGGCTTTAAGTCTATCCAAATTATACGTGTGTAGTGGATTTTGTATACAACCTGCTGTATAAAAATTACATACACCAATACACGGTGAAAGGCAATACGTAGATCGCACCCTAAAAAAATATACCTACTTTCTCTTTTAACTGTGACAGAATGATTTATTTATTTAACATACCTCGCACGGCATACGAACAACATTCCAACTATATTCCAAAATCCAAACTATATAATGAGGGTGTCTGAAACCCATTACGTTTCAAGGTTGAGTTATAGTTAGGTTATACATATATTTAACGTATAATATATTTATAATAGTAAATATAACGATAATGGGTTATTTCTTATTAATATACTGGCTATATCACTATCGATAGAATGAAGTTATGCTAATGACTATATAGGTACTTAAAATAAATTATCATAGATTGTGAGGCTAAGCAAATTTCTGTCAAATATTTTACATTTTTTACATCAAGCGTATTATAAAATGTGTTTTTAAATTGTTTGTAATGTTTTCGAAGTTCTTAATACATTCGACGGTCACTGTAGATTTCAACTGGTATATAAATCTACAATTAAATAATAAAACCTGTTTTTGATCTAAAATTTATGTATATGTTGTTATGTAAACATTTTTTATTAACACCATGTAAAAACACAAAAGCATAAAATATGTAATAACTAATATGCATACATTTATATTCACAAAACTATTTATATTATATATATATATATATATATTAATTATTATGTTTATCATAAACTTCTTTTATTTGTGTACTTCAAGTAGCCAAAAATTAAAAATTGAAATATATTAAAGGTATAAGTATCAAATGTACAGTCAACAGAGACAATCGTGTACATTGTTCAATGTTCCTTGTAGATTAAATGTTATTAAAATGAATTTAATTATTATACATATTAAAGTTAATTGTTAGCATTTAAACGATATTTTAAATGTTAGGTATACAAGTTATGTGATATGTGAATGTAAACTATTTCGGTTTAAAAATATTAATGTATCGTAAAAAAATTTAAATATATTAACGTAGTCAAAAACATACATATAAATATATACCTAATGTAAACTTTTTAACTTTAAATTTGATAAAAGGTTAATTTACTTTAATATTAATGCTAACAGTATAAGATTAGGTTTACGTAACTCATTAATTATTTAATATCCATAGATATTTGTTGCGTTATGCAATGCGTGTTAATCAGACAGTGAGAGATTAAAATATATCTTTTGAACTGACCTCTTAATAAACTTGTCAATGTTCAATAGTAAATTATCTATACAAACAATGTATTTCGATCGTCGAATTATGCAAAGTAAATTATTTAAAAAGTATTAACTTAATAATTAAATATTTGCTGATTAACATCTAATTCGTTACAATAAAATATTCAAAAATGTATTATGGTGCATTGTCGAATAAATGTACATATATAGGTACTTATAAAATAATATTATTTTTGTCATAATTTTAGTAGAGTATTTTTAGGTGTGATGGTGATCAATCACCACTGAGTTAATTCTTGGTTTTTACTTTTTATGTAGGTATTTATAATTATGTATGTATATTATACATAAAGCGCATTAAGGTAAAAAACAAATATTTCAGTTTAAAAAAAAAATTAAAAAGTTAATTATTGTCAGTTACGGCAGGGTAATCACCCCTATCAAGAGTTTTAACAATTTTAACTGACCTTCCATGGTAGAGCATTAATTAATATAGGTACTATATAGTAGAGGTAGCCAGCAAGAAGAGACTAGCGAGCCGCTTAATATATTAAAAATATTGAAGAGCTAAAATGAAAAAAAAGTTCATATTAATATATATGTATATTATAATTATTGTAAATAAATTAATTAGATATCAATTTTAATAAAATAGATAAAATACAAAACAATACAAGATATTAATTAATAATTTAAAATTAAATAAATACATATTTAAATATTAAAAAAAAACATTATATTTTTTTTGTACATTTTTTCTATAAATTGAAATTTAATAAAATATAATACTTCTTCATTAATTCATATTAAAAATAATTTTTATTTTTGTAATAATTTTTGTATTTTAAGATAAGATGCGAGTCATTGAGTTTATGACGGGAGCCGCAAACAGCTCATGAGCCACAGTTTGGCCACCCCTGCTATATAGGCTTATAGTTATTTGAAATATGGAAACTGGCGGTTTACCTGCTATTTAATATTTTATTATTATAAACTTGCTTTTTCAATATTCTCTCACTAAATGTACAATGTGTATATATATATATTTATCGACGACAAACCATCTGCTCGACCAAAAATAACAAAGACGGTCAACTCTCGACCCTCGCGTATACATTTATTTATTTTAAAAGGGGAGTGAATGAGAGAAAGAGTCTGCGCATAAATGATTGTATATAAATTATCCCATACCGTAAACTGCGCCTTAACAATAGCGAAGTATATTTATTACTATTATTTGTGAAATCTGGCAACGATGTATACGACATGATTGGAGTTTAACCGAAAAATTCGATCCCCGCCCATAACACGTCATCTAACAATCCGCATTCCACACCCGGGTCGAAGTCAAATAATATTAATATGTTTAAAAATCAGAACCCAACATGTATGCTCTTAAAATTACAAATTGAGAAAAGATCATGTTTTCGCTTCTATAAGGAGGAGAATGGAAGCGTATTAGTTGCATATACCTACCAAGTTGAGTGTTCACATATTTTATATTTGTAATGATTTCTTATAATTAAAATTAATAATGATAAAATGATTTTTAACCGATATTTAATTCATGAAAAAAAGTAGGTTCCTGTAACTCTTAGTAAAATAATAAAAATTAAAAAATATTTATTACTTATTCGTGTAAATGTGTATATTTACAATTATACAACCACGAGATTCACAAAGGTTTATTGTTTTATAATGCATTTTGTAATTTAAAATTATATTACTTAATTCAAAATCAAGATGATTTCATCATAATAATACACATATTACTTACGTAATGTGCTATCTACTAACGAATATTATTTGTTGGGTAAATATTATGTCTTATTCGACCCACTGTCCACTAAACTTATTGCCGATTATAAATTATAATTTATAATATTGCCTAATGCCTTATACCTACCTAATAATATTATTGAAAAAGTTCATAAAACGAGGAAAAATGTGGAAACCAATTATAAACTGAAATGTGATTTACACAATGCAAAATAAATAAATTAAATTTTTATCAAAATCAAAATTATGGCTATGTAAAAATATTAAAAAGTAATACATGCAGTAAACAAGTTGCATTATACATTAAAAATTGATACTATTGT